AGATCAAAATGAACTCGGGATATTTCAAGAGAAAAAAGAGAAGAAAAGAAAAATGAGTGACACCTTGAACATTTTGAAATTTATTAGATATTCCGAAGGATAAATTGGACTTGTCATTTTTTGTTCTAAAATTATCCACTAGGATCTTTCGAGATTCAACTAAATCGTAACCTGGGGTTTGGTAGCTAAACCTTCATCTACTCTAGCAATTTAAATTCCTTATAATATTACATACATGTCTTACAAGTACTGACATTTCAGGTGGTAAAACGAGAAAACTCGTAGGTACGCTTTTACAGTTTACAGTATTATTTTCTCTTTTACTTTCCGCACTATACTTTTATGCTTATAAAACTTGCATGTTAAACAACGATGTTACCCTGCATAAAAACAAAAAATTGTTAGGATAGCCATAAAACCGAAACCAAAATTAAAATCAACCAAGATAAAGCTAAAATTTACCGCCACAACATTCAAAATATAAGACAACTCAAAATTTAACCACAAACCTCACAAAACAACCATTGCAACTAAATTAAGACGTCTCTATCGGATGATCGGAAATCCCTCGGAGGAGGCAACCAACGGTTGCTAACGAGGTTTCCCACGGTCTAAATGAAAGTACGGAATTCATTAAGTTGAGTTTAATAAATTTATTTGGAATGAATCTGATAGAAAAAGAAAATAGTGGTGTCGGAACGAGGGAACCGTAGGATCCTAACCGATGTCGCTCTAATCAACTTTAACATGTCTCATAACATCTAAAGAACTTTAATCATAGGGACATCTGATTTGACATCATAACCTGACACACTAGAAAACTTAAACTCGTCACGGCAAGGAGCTTGAAGCTAGCATGGTGGGCAGCACGGTCATCTTCAACAGCAAAACCTATCTACATCAGCTAAATTAATTTCCTCTCTTAGAATTAAACAACAAAGCCATAGAATTTCGAGGTAGTTTGCTTATGCAACATAAATCCTCAACTCATCTTTAGACCTTTGTACAACTCCGGTATACAATATAAACCCTAAATCGTCTTAGCATTCCAAGATTGTCGTTCGTCACGACCTAAATCCTCACATCTTTCAGACTATTTGTGTGATCGTTTCACACAAATTTAAGCCATAACAAATAAAATTGGCAGGATGAAACACCTAAATATTTCTCCTCAAAACTGAAGTCAAACATTATGATAGCTTGGAAAGTCACTGAGGTTGTCCTCTAGATCTATGACATCCCCTAGTCTCTCTTCCTTTGGACTCTACAGCCAAATGTTCGTAGTTTTAACAATTTCTCTTTCACACCTCTCTGTCTGATCTCGTTGAAAAGCCCTATCCTTTGACCTCTTTGAAGATAATATTTTCTGATTTTTATCGAGAGTTTTCTTAGGTGACTTCGTTCATTTAAGATGTAATTAACTATAGGGGCTTGCTCTTATAAGAAGCTTGTCTGAACCCATTTTAATATAAACTCTATTCAATTCTTCATATTAAATAGGGGAATTTGTCGGCATATAAAATGGTTTCACTGACCAAATGGATGTCATATATTTCTTGTGTTTACCTTTTGGGATAGATACAAGGTTTGAGGTATAGTGTTCTTCCTTTTAAACTGTGGAAAATATGGGGTCTGTTTCATTTCATATTTTTTTAAAACTTATATATATATATATGTAAATTAAACATCCTTCCGAAGAAAGTGATGGGATTTCAATTCTGGCGGCCGACAGCTTTCAACAGGCAACTCCTTCAAAAAAAAGTACCGTTTCCAACAGGCAACTCCTTCATAAGATCCATCGTAATATGACTTAACTACAAGAACAATAACAAGAAGCCTTTATCCCACTAAGTGGGGTTAGCTACATATAATATGAGTTAACTATAAGAATAAAAATAATAATTATAAGCATAGTAACAAGAGTTGTTTACAAGATAATTCAATTTCTATTCAACCACACAAGTTAGAACCTTTAGGCAATGGTTTGCAAAAACATCAACCCTATCTAAAACAAATTGATAATATCTTATTGCTAGATGTTTATAGCATGATAAAACATGTAAATAAAATAAAGCATTGATTCCAAGGAGCATAACAAGAATTTTAAACACAACATATTTTTTTGGTGTTTGAGATGCGTCCACTAGGCATAATATATGCATTTTTAATTACAAGTTTTATTAACTTTACTAGTGACATTGTATTAGACAAAGAATTGAAAAATAACATAAAGGCTTTACCAAATTGATGCATTCCTTCTTCCTTTAAAGTTTATCTTCAATGAAGATTCATAGAGGATAAGGAATAGTAGCGCTCAACTGTTATTGGACCAACAGAAGACCATTAGAGGTTCAGATTGTGTGCAAAAGTGTGAGAGACACAAACAGCAAGAATTCAAGAATCAGTTACAAAGAGGTGATGCTCGAAGCAAAGATGATAGAAGTGACAAAGGAGATTTTGTAAATGAGGTAGTGATTAAAGGAAAGTGTGAAAGTGTTACGAGAAAGTTGTGAAGATGGAGACCTGAGCAACGTTTGAATGGTTAACACACTGTAGTAAGCTTGAGGACAGCAGATACAAGTTTACTACGAGGAAGAAGTGGTAGGATAAAGCCGTTGTGTAGTGATGCAATAAAAGAAGCAATGAGACCATATTTGAACTAGTGCAATTTTAAGGGGCTGCATTCTTGATTTCACTATAAATAAACACGGTGAATGAAAAGTGAAGGAACAAGTTTGGGCTCTGATATGAAAATGATATAAAATTAGGCAGTGGAACGACGAGAAATCAGGTACAAAGAGAGGGACTAGTCCAAAAATAAAGCAAGAATAAGAGGAAATTTTTAATTCAATTCATTCAAAAATCTTCTAAATACAAGTAATAAAGCCCAATTTAAAAAACAAATTTAAAAAAATAAGATTAAATAATTTTTAAATCAAACTTCATTCTATTCAACACTAAATCTAGTCATATAGAACTCAAATTAAAACCTAAAAATTATCCAAAAGAAAAAGTCCTGCTAATAAATCAAAAAACCGAGTAGAACTGAAGGAAATTCCAAGGCAATCTTAAAATCATAAACTTATTCTGCATAGGCTGCTATTACTTTTTCCCCTTTATATAAGATAGCCCATATAACAACTACTACAGTATATGAACATTATTGCAACAGTTTATCTAGTTCAATAGAACGAATATTTATTTTGTGATTGCAACAACATAGACATTAAAAAAAAAACATCATTGGCACATACTGCAATATATTCTTCAATTTAAAAAACTAAAATAACATGCATTTTTCATGTGTTTCTTGCAAAATTTACACAAGCATAAATGGCACACAAAAATAGTCATTACTTGCAATGATCATGAATAATCTGAAAATGATATGATGCCCCATGCTTGGCAAAGGAACGTCAGCACTTTACACAGCTATGGCCATCTTATCATGCCAAGAAAATAGACTTAAAAGCTGTAGGTGTATTTCCTTTGACCATTATTAATGCTGCATAAAGATAGAAATGATGAAAACTTACAAAAGCTTTAAACGCGGGTCTATGAGCAGCCATCTCATACATACAGCAGCCTGTCTCATCACACGTCAAAAATATGTAAGTTACATGATAACATTAGATACCTCCTCCAAACACACATGCACTTACCCAAGGACCAGATATCTGATTTGAATCCATAGGGAATATCGGCAAGAAGCTCTGGGCACATGTAATTTGGAGTACCAACAACCTGATTAAGGAATTAATAATGTTTTATCATCACCACCAAACACAAGAGTGCACATTTACTAATTCTAAATGAAAAAAAGAGAAAGGGGTAGCCAACTGAAGGGTAAAGGACTAGCCTTTCAGGTGCTTGCATAAGAGAGATTTTTTTTTACTTCTTTAAGAAGAAGGTAGTTTTGAGACCATCTAAAGAAGAAACTTTCATCCATATGAGGAAAAATTTCTTATTTGGACACAGTAATAGAGAAGGGTGGAGAAAGTAATAGCAGTAACAACTTCTTCCCTACATCCAACTCTCATATTTTCAACAAATAGTTGAATATTCAGTCATTTACATGGATAAAATGGTATGTACTCCTTCTCTATGACTCTTTATGAAAAGAAACCCTTGATTTACCTCTATTTTGGAGTTTAGTAAAAATATTGATTTCAATATCAAAATTATGGTTGGATCTTGTCAAACCACATAGGCCTCTGTACCTTATGTTTGTGATCTCCCGTGTGTTTATTCTCGGATCTTCATATAATTTTGGTTTTAAATTTTACTACTATCCTATCAATAATTAGGTATTTGCATTTATAGATTTTTACCGCTTCCTTTATCTCCAATTACTCATCCTCTTCCCACGAAACTCATTTCCCACGAAACTCATTTGTATTCCTATGTACAATCTTAAATCTCCAACTACTACTGCTCTTTGCAGATTATGTCAAAGATTAAAAAGTGAAAGGATTATAATAATAGAAACCCCAAGTGGAATAATTAAGTCTCACAGAAGAAGCCAAATCATCTGCCTTTAAAGTCTTAGCAAGCCCAAAATCCCCTGCATACAATGAGCAAAAATTAGGAAACCAAAGTTTAACATAGGTGATACTGAATCCTGCAAGCATACCTAGACGAACATCCTGATCCCTTGTGAGAAAAATATTAGAGCACTGCAACAAGAAGTGAAAATTAGTCACCTCATTCAGCAATAAAAAAGGGATGCACTGGACAATCTGCGATCACTGAATAACAAACCTTGAGATCTCGATGTAAAACATAATTGGAATGCAAATACTCAACAGCTAGTAATAACTGAGCAAACCATTTTAGTAGTTTCTGCAGGAGAACAAATAAAATCAACAGGGTAAATTCATTGCATGAGAATCTTTTCAATGAAGTAAACATGTTAGAGATAGTGATACCTCCTCTGGGAAATATGCCCCATTTGATTTCCTCATCATTTCAGCCCTATGGCATGCCATAAATTATATTTAGATGATAAACAGGTAACCATAAAGATGATTGAAAAGATGAAGAAGATGAAGAAGTGCGATTTTTCTCTCCAAATATCACTCACATATCTCCTCCTTCACAGTATCCCGTAACAATACAAACATAACAACCCTGCAAGAATTTTTTAATTTTTTTTCTTTTTCAGATAAAAACCACAATACACAGGCGGATGGTTCACTAAAACAGTGTTTTCAGACCTTCTCCACCCAAGCTTCTTTAAATTCAACAATGAATGGGTGTTGAAGCAGCCCAATGATAGCCATCTGCAATTAACATATAATAGAATAACTGAAGTGACTCTCTTAACAAGATCTTAATATCAAAAGGCGATAACCATTAATTCGTGCCTCTTGGTGAGCTGATCTCCGGCATCGCTCAGTCTGCCTAGCAAGCCGAATCTTCTTCAAAACGTACCTTCAATCCAGAACGACCAGTACAGCATCAATGGAAATAAAATAAGGGAAATAATTTAGAAACAGGAAATTATAAACCGAATACTTCTTTTTCTCCTGCTTGTGATTAACAAGTATGGCAGCCCCAAAAGCGCCTCGACCAATTTGTTCCATTATCTCGTACTGATCCATCCGAGATTCCATGGCGATCTCCAGAAAATAGACGCACAAACTTGATTCGCTCGGATATGAAAAATTCTATATTATTGAAGTATCAACCATCTAATTCATTGAGACTATTCAAAGAAAGCCCCTCAACCAGCCAAATATCCGCCAGCTCTGCTCCCCATCATCTCGCTAGATCTCCTCTTCTTTTTCTATCGAAATAGATCGGCGGTTCATTCCTCACTACAAAACGGAGATCCGTCTCCACTGTACGAAGAAAACAAAACATCCACACTCAAACTATCTTCCACATGTCAGTACGCCCACCAGATCAAGCCCTACCCCGCGTAAACTCTACCACCCAGGCATCATCAGTTCAGCAAGTACGAAACAAATTCCTCACCATTTCTGATCCCACATTCTTTTCTTCCAACCGCCACACAATTCCAATGATCTAATCTTCCCCTCCGCGGCACTCACCAAATCGCCGATCTCCGCGGAGAACCACCGCCTCCTACTTCCAGCGCGAATGCCACAATCGAGCTTTCGCTGTAACAGGACCTAGAAACTCCTCACATGGATCCCGAAGACCAGCGAGATGAATCTATCTGCCAACTTCCGATTTCGATCCCCCCCGCGCCGGAGCGAGGGAGCTTTCCCTTCGCCCACACTTACGTTTTTGCAGAGTGTGACAGTCGAGTGACAGTTAAACGGGATCTCAAAGTCGGCAGATTTTTTTTTTTTTCTTGATCAATTAAACTTTGAGAAATTTACATACAAACCAAACAATTCTCATGTATTTACATATCTTATATTCAAACTTTATATATTTGCACTCATTACACTTTGGAGTCATAAAGTTGCAAGAAAATGTGTATTTCACTTTTAAAAAGAATAATTATAATTTATTTTTTATATGATGTTAATGATTTTAGTGATATGCATGTAAATATAAGTGTTTAGGTGTAAATACATGAGAATGATGTGGCATGTATGTAAATGCCCATTCAATTTTTTTACTTCCCATAAATATATGCTAAGCATTCAAATGTCAACCAAGCTATTCATTTATGATTATATTTATCATCCAACCTTTCATTATTAACTACGATTATTTGTTCCTAATTTTAAATGCTTAGTCCACAAATTTGACTAGCTTTTTAGCTTTTGTTAGTAGATTTCATTTAGTTAAATTTTGTATTTGTTCTCTTCAAAAGAAACATTGGATCTGTTTGAGGTAGCTCCAGCTAATTAAAAAACTGTTGTGAAGTTGTTGAATAATAATTTGATGTTCAAAAAGCTACGGTGGTCGTCACTTTTTTCTTTTAAATTCAAACCATAGTTAGAAAACTACCATCGCACATAGCCATGAGTGGTGAGAAAATGTATATTCCAGCGGAAGCTTTGTAAAAAAGCTATCAAAACAAGGTTTATCCAAACAGACAAAACTGTTATGCGGTGTCGCACCGCCACCGACCGCCGCACCAAACAGACCCTTAGTCTCAACCCCAATTATTTAACTCGTGAATGTCATATCGTCGCCATATTTTCTAGTTACACACATTGCACAATTCTCATCTCCAAACTCCCCTACTCTTGATTGAAGGGAACACATCACTTTGAGCTAATCTTCATGTCCTACTTTATCTTCTTCTCCGAAGTGAATGATGGGTCTAAGATAAGTATGACTTTTAGAAATTATTGGCTGATTGCAGTCATTATCTATGTTTGAGTTCTAACAAGTCAAGATTCTCTTTGATGATTCTTATCAAGGTGAGTTTTATTTTAAATTTAGTTTAAACCAGATTGATGCTTGTTGTCACTTTAGACCCAATTCAAATTGTGCATAGAAAATGTGTTAGCACTGATCTTCAGGAGATCCAACAGTACATGAATGAGAAAGTACAATAAAATAGGGCCCACCAACGCAAGACCAAAAAATCTCCTTTTTCGACCAGATGCATCTGTTAGAGTCAAAGCAAGCAAGGTTAAAATCGACCAAGTCACGAAAACGACCGAATAACCCGAACCCATCAGGCTAAAACAAGATAAGCATCTAAGCCAACCATTATACAAAAATCGAGCAAAAGCATCGACCGATCCATTAGTAAACATTATCTTAATCAAGTTCATCGGCATCACATGTTGTCCCATGAATGTCTCCAAGGATTCCTCATAATGTATCAAGAAATAATTGTACAACCAAGCACCACAATTATCTCAAAGGACCATTCTCGTCAAAGAATAAGCTACCAATCGAGTCACGATAATTCACTCTCTACTCAATATTCTAATCTCATTTTGTTGATAGGAGTTTCTTGTCAAAGGACCAAGGGTCGACAATCAGACTAAATCAATCAATCCATAAAGTCCACTTGATTGTGTCAATCGTGTCGATCCAAAGCCAATTGAATCCAACGAACCGACTACGTCGACCTAATAAAGCCGACCAAACCAGAGTCGTGCTAAATAGGCTCATGTTAATACCTAATATATATTGTAACAGTCCAATTAAAACGCGGCCAAAGATATTATATCAACTCTCTCCTCCATAAACAAGAAAATCATTTTATGAGAAAGAAGCCATAAAAAAGAAGTTTTACCATTCATTATTCTGCACTTTTCTTTCTCCCTCTCTCTCGTCAAGCTACTATTGAGCGTACAAAAAAAAACACGTGTAAAATTAATTTAATTGCTTTAATTTCAAGGGCCCTACAAAGCTATTGTTATTCAAACCTGCACCATACATTCATCATTTAAAAACTATCTATTTATCATTGGACCCATCTAAACTTAAACCATTTGTGCATTCAATTTCTATGATACATATAGCTATACACTCTATAAGCTTTATCATAAATGCACTATTATATATATATATATATATATATATATATATATATATCTAACAAAGCATATACATCACATTAAATTACTAACGCATGAAACGAGAAATACACATTTTCATGCGTAAGTTATGACACCAACATAGTGTTAGATATGTAAATTCATAAGAGTTGTAAGGTATGTATGTAAATCAGTGAATATTTCTGATATAAATTGCATCAAAACAATCAATTACAATTTATATTCCAAACCCTCCTAACAGAATTCTTGACCATAAACATAACTGTGTCACATGTCCATATCAAAAATGTGCACACTAACACAATATGTACATTTAGGAAGAGAATAATTCAAGTTTAGAAGCCCCAGTGAAGCTCTTCAGATGATCAAAGCTCCAACTAAGAATACAAAACGAACAGAAATGCACACATTTATTAAAATTTATTTGCATAAATTAACCAAATTACTAATGGGCATTTATATACATACCACTCAATTCCTATGTGTTTACATATCTAACACCAGAACTTTGCTTTTTTACGTTTACAGTTTACACCACCCAAAATTTTCACATCAGATCAAAGACCACCATTTTAGCATTTTGAAAGAGAAATACACATTTTCATGCAAATATATAAGTGGCATATATGTAGAAATGGTGTTGAATATGTAAATACATCAGAATTGAGTGGCATGTATGTAAAACTTCCCAGGCTCAAATTACAAATTTGATTGATCCAAGCAGCAATCAGGCAGGCCTCCATAGAGAAATCATCTCCTGGAACATATCCACTATCAACTCCCTGTCTGCATATCTGAATAAACCATTGATTTCATCCTTCACATCATAAATCTTCCCAAAATCAAATAAATACATCAGACACCCCTTCTTCAGCTTGTTCAACTGGTAAAGCCAAGCCGCCTGGAGCCTCTCAAGCACATTACTCGAGTTCAGGTCTTCGAGAAGGCTCTCCTCGCAGCAATCTTTGAGCATTGAAATGTCGTATTTGTTTGCCGCGCCCAGCAACGAGAGCCGGTGCCTCCAGAAATCCTCTTGGTTTATCGAGCCATAGATGTATCTGAGGAGAGCAGAGCAGGATTCGACAGACATGTCTTCGATGTTGATTGAAGAGGATTCTTTCTCCTTTAGATCATGGAGGAACATGCTCTCAAAGACCGGGGAGCACGCCGAAAGAACGGCTTTGTGGGCTCGCAGTGCGCCCTCCTTCGTGTTTATCGTGACGTCTGGATGGATTTCTTCTTCGAGCATGCGGGAGAGGCAGTTGAGGCCACCCTTGTTCGCAGCATTCTGCATTGTTTCTTTGTTCGGCCAGATCGAACATAGTTCTCCTCCCTGTGTCGATGTTGATGATAATGACAGAAAGTTTAAATTGAATTTTTAATCTTCCATAAACACAAACTTGGGTATGTATTCTCTTTTGGGAAATTTATATACATATCATATAATTCTTATGTATGTATATAACTAACATCCGGAGTTCGATATTTGAACTCATAACAATTTGGTGTCATAAACCTATGCATAAAGATGTATATTTCACTTTTAAGAAGATAGTGATGGTAAAAAGCTTGAGTGATGTGCATGTAAATATGAATGTACGTAAGAATCGTGCGGTATGCATGTAAATGCCACTACTTTTATTTAGTCTATCCAAAAGTTGGCAATGTGGGAGTTCATTTTTATAAAAGCGATAATCAAACTTGAAATATTAGCAACAATCTCCATACATCTGCTTATTTTAATTATAAGATTTAGTTAATGAAATGGAAAAGGTAAGACTTTTGTAAGATATTTATTGAATCATCATCGAAGGCTTTATCCCAACTCTTTGCAGTTAATTTCACGAGTACATAATTCTAATTGGGGCATTTACATACATTCCAACCAATTCTATGTATTAACACTTAAATTTATTCTTTACATTTATACGGCCCAAGTCTTACATCAAAAATATCATGATTTTAACTTTAGAAAGTGAAATTCACCTTTCAAAAATTGGTAGGGTGGTATGTATGTAAAAGTTGAAATTTATGTGTTTACATATCTAAGACCTAAATTTGTTTTTTACATTTACATCGCCCAAGTCTTACGTCAAAAATATCATGCATTGGTTGGGTGGTATGCATGTAAACATTGAAATTTAGGTGTTAGATATGTAAATAGGTATGCATGTAATGTAAAAATCTTTCCTTATTTTTATTTGTTAATGTTGAGTGCCGCCTAAAGTGTTCATCTTTTTTCGCAAATTCTTTCAAATAACACACATATATGTAGATTTATGTCTACAAATTTTCCTTGCTAATTGTTTGACGCAAGTTTTCTATGCTCATCTAAGGAACGAATTTTACATTCATTTTGAATTTAACAGCTAAATTTTATAGTTTACATTTATGCCGCCCAAATTTTTCATATCACATCAGAAGTACTATCTTTTTAACTTTTAAAAAGTAAAATGCATATCTTCATGCATAGATAAGGCTTCATAATGTAACAATTGAAGTTTATATATTAGATATGTAAATACATAAGAATTGAAGGGTACGTGAGTAAATCTTGTAAGAGAAAAAAATTGAAATTCTTACATTTAAGGGGGAGATTTTCAATTCCAGAAACTCTACGTCAATAATTAAACGCCCATGGAAGGTTCCATCAACAGCCCAAACAAAGTCTTCACTTGTACGAATCAGTTTCTCATGTACTGATGATGAAGAAAACAAGTCAATCAATTTCAAAGGTAATAACAAAATACAAGCCAAGTAACATGAAAAGAGAGCATTTAGGAGAATTAGAAAATGTGAAGCTTTCAGAACAAAAGCATCCCTATTATTTATTTGGAAGATTTACATACATAACACTCAATTCCGATGCATTTACATATCTAACATCTATACCACAATTTTTTACAAAAAAAATTGTATTTCACATTTTAGAAGTTAAAATGATAGTCTTTTTTATAAGATGTGAACGATTTGGGTGGTTTAACGGTAAAAGATCAAGTGTTAGAAATGTAAATACTAAATACATAAGAATTAGGTAGTTGTTACGCCAGTGCCAATGGGCACTTTAGTCCTTTTTCATTTATTATTATTTAGTATAAATAAGGCTAATATGCTTAGGGTTAGGGTTATGCATGAGGTCGTTGTCTTGAGTGTTAGAACTAGGATTTGTGAGAGATTTCCTACCTCTCAAATTATAGGAATTGGGAGAGATAGCCTACCTCTCAAATTATAGGTGCTTATCTTTATGTATTTTTGTTGTAATATTTGGTGCTTCTGAAATAAAAATATTTGGTGCTCTAATTTCTATGGAAAAACATCTTCGGATCGTATCAGTGGTATGTATAGAAATGCCCCTATTTGTTTAGTACAAATCTTATGTTGGGTGTCGAAAAAGATTCGATGTTGGCCGAATTCCTTTGAGAATACGATTAACAATGCTTATTTATTTCGTGCATGGTTAAAAATACGTGGGGTAATTCCTGCAATAGCTAAAAATGGGTTAGTTTACCCCAAGGAATATTTGTTGAGGAAAACTCTCTTATATTCATGTTGATGAGGGAATTCAAAAGTTTAAGAAAAGAGAGGAAATGACTCACAGAGTCCTTTCCAAAACAATTTGGAGTTTCGAACGAAATTTCGAGAGCATATCTATATTTATAGTGGCATGGTTGAAGAATAGTTTGATAGTTTGGGTGAGGCATATATTCTTCGAAATTCATGTTGAATGAAAATGCCCCTTGGTTGGGAACATTCTGGCCCACTAGTCGAAGTAGGGTTGAAGATTAGACGCCTCATCTCTAAGAATAGTGCTAGATCATTTTACCTTATGGGTAATGGAAGAATGGACGAATCTCTTCGGCTCCGTTTGGTATCACTTTTTTTTTTATTTTTTATTTTTATTTTATTTTATTTTGTTTATATTTTGATTTGAATTAAAGTATTTTTGGTTGTGGTAGTTGTTTTTTAAAATACTCAAAATATCATTTAGGTATTTTGAGCGTTTTTAAAAATAAAAAATAGTAATATATAAAAATTATACTAAGCAAATATGTTTTTAAAAACAAAAGTAAAAAATAAAAAAAATGTAGAACAAAAGTGATGTCAATTAAGCCCTTAAACTGTGGTTGGTAATCCAAAACAAGAAATAGGATTCTTGTTGATGACTTTGACATTGGTGTTGAAAAATTCTGGGTTTTTTTTTACTTGTGCACGATTCGAACTTGTGATCTTATGGCATGCCACTGATAATTGCGCAAAAAATTTGAGTTTGATAACTAAATTCTATTGAACTCTCAAGATTATTATTCATTATCTCGTATACAATAGAGGACTGCCACGAATTTTGAGGAGATCCAACAATCCAAATTCAAATGGACCATTGCTTTGTTTGGTTACCATTACATAAAGATTGTCGAAGTACAATTCGTAACATACTTGAATGAGGGTTTATACTGAAACCAAAATATTCGTAGGGAAGTATCAATTGCCCTAAATTTCATATCTCTGTGTAGAAGCAAAATATATGTAAATTGATCGTTGCATAAGTGATTACCCTCCCTCCCTATGGCATTGCGCTCTCCTAAGCCAAGACAAAAAAAAATACATTTTGTTAATCATGAGGAATATTTTTGGACAGTATAATTCAAAAATAATCATATTAAAATATTACACAATAATAGAAAAATATATTTGAAGTTTTGTTTTGTTTCAAATATTAAGATATTAAGTGGGGAAAAGAGATTGTCTACAATGAAATATCCATAAAGCGCAAAAGTTATGTTTATAGTTTGAATAAGCAAGTAAAAAAATAAGTTTATAGTTTACATAACCTAAAAATTATCTAATGTTTCGTTGTCGTCTATTTAATCTTCTTCATCACCAGTGCTTTTTTCTTCACAAAATTCATAGCCCTCCAAGTAGAAGTGCTAGTCGCCCTATAAGATAATGTATTAATGAAGCCTTATTGAATATATTGGTGGCATATATTAATGAAGTAGCAACGATAGTATGACAAACTAAAGAGTGATTGTTGAAGTTATTGTACAGAGAGAATGCATAATCCATGAGAAGAATGACTTCAATTATTTAAAATTTTTCACACTAAAAAAAAATGCAATTTGGAAATAAAAATAATTTTTGCAAGAATAAAAAAAAAGGACTCCAGCAATTGGTGGAAAAAGTGCAAAATAAAGAGAGAATACATTAATGATGTTGATGTGGTTCGATATAACTTGACCACATCTCATATAAGCACCAACACACTGAGGATTCCACAATCACCTTTATTCATTTGCTAAAGTTAGTATATGTGATGTTACATCACTTCTTATTTTGAGGGAAACAGTAACATCACTTTAACTATGAACAAAAACACCTATCTAAATCACATCCAAGAGACTTAGGGTTTGTTTGGGGCAGCTGCAGCTTATTAAATAATCTGCTGATAAGTTGATTAAAAATAATCTGCTGATAAGCTAGGTGCGGTGGTTATTACAAACTTTAATATTTTGGGAAAAGCCAGAACGCTGCCAGAAATCTGCCATGACACCTAGATAGGTGCGATGTGAAAATGTTATTTTCAGTGTTTTGAAAATGCATAAGCTGTCAAAACACAGTTTACCCAAATAGGTCAGGTGAGTTTTCAAAGCGTCACTGCACCAAATAAGTTGCCCCAAACGAACTCTTAGCAAACAAAAAAAAATTGGAAAATAGAACTTACAAAAAACAAAAATCATAAACAAATAAGTATGTTGATGCATAGAATGAAATTTTGAACGTAAATGTCTACGTGAAGAGAGAGGGTTTCGTGATATAGAATTTTATGTTGTTCCTTTTATCTCTAAATAATTAATATGAATTAATTGAAAATATTAAGTGATATATCTTTCTTTTCATATTATTTTTTTTTATTGTGTTTCCTATTATAAGATTCATGTAAGGGTTATTTATACTCTCTTCAATACAAATGAAATAATTCCGCTTAATTCTGCATTATTCTGAATTTCAACGGTTATCAATCAAGTACTTAACCAAATAAATCAAGCCTCTAATGAAAATGTTAGCATTAAATTTAATCCAAAAAGAACAAAAATCTTATCGGAGCATCGACCCCCTCCAAATATCATAAAACTATATATTCTATAGATAGTCATCAAATCCCTAATATACAAGTTATACACCATATGATGAGGAGAAAAAGAAGAAACAGGTTTCTGGTACCATTAAAAATGAGCTTTAAATTTGATAGGATTTTAGTCTAGGAAATGATAGGTTTTTGCTAATCATAAGTTCCATAACCATAAATTACTTCAACAATAGTGTTTGAATATTGATTTAAAAGAACTCTTTGAATAAAAACAAATCTATCATGCGCATAAATCCTTATGGCTAAAATATAGATCAAGGAATTAAGCCTTTTGTTTTTAGTGTCATAAAATATTTCATCAATGAACTAAAATAACAACTCAAAAAGATTGATCAAAATTGGAAAACTACAAAAGGAAATACAATTTTCTCGGTATATCCTCCTACCGAATCTCATAAAACTAAAAGTGTCAATAAAAAGTTAACAAGTTTTGGTAAACATTAAGCTGAAGTTGCCACAGAAGAATAATTTAATTCATTGGTGAAACAAATTAATTTCACCAATTAATTGCATTCAAATAGTTGGAGCTTTACTTGTATAAGCATTAACATGACCTTGAACAATTCCTTTAAAAAATGCAAAATGAGCAAATCAAGGAAAGAAAAGTGTAAGAGATTAAGATACTACACTCGCATGCTGCCAATCAACTAAGTTTTGGCGAGATTGAATTTAGTCTTTGGCCCTTAGTTTAGAACTTTAAACGAATATTAAAAAGATTAAAATCATAAGAAATTACATATGCTAGAAAAGGCTATTTGGTAGAGCCAGTTAAGAAAAGTTTATGTCGAATTTATGATAAATCCAGCCAAACAGCAATATTCACACACATAAATCTGACTCCCATTAAATCTAATTTTGGCTTCATTTCAGCCTAAACCCCAGATTTACTAAAACCATGAATTTCACTAATTTCATATATATAGATTTATAGGATTTACTAAATCTTCCCAAAGTTGAGTCCTACTTGCAACCAAGAAGCCGCTAAATCAAGAGACTGTCTCAGAGTGGTAAGATACTATATCAGAGTTAGTTGATGCTGAAAATAGTCTTCAGGAACCGAAATTGTATAATGAACTAGAAATCATCAAAATGGAACATTTTCCTAAGAGAATCGATCATTAATAGCCTCACATTAATAAAATTATAAATTTGCGTCATTGCAAAGCCTACAAATATCAGCAAACACTAGCAGAAATCTCCTCAGGTTCAAGGAAATCTTACCAAAAAAACGAGGTCATGGAATAGGAAAAACATTAGTATGCATAGTTAAGCAAATTACGGTGTCTTATGTTCCGGATACAGCAACAACAACAACAACAACAAAGTCTTAATCCCAATGCGTGGGGTCGGCTACATGAATCATTTTTCTCTATTGTGTCCTATTTAGTGACATATTTTCATTTTGTTCTAAAAAATTAAGATCATTTTTAAACAATAATCCCAAGTCTTCCTAGGTCTACCTCTGCCTTTCTTAACATAAGTCAAATCTAAAACATCTACTCTCCTAATTGAATCATCAGATGGTCGACGTTTAATGTGACCAAGCCATCTAAGACAACTCTCTCTAATTTTTTCCGTCACTAGAGCTACACCAACCCTATCACGGAGATATTCATTTTGCATTTTGTCTCTAAGTGTAAAGCCACTCATCCACCTAATCATTCTCATCTCGACAACACTTAACTTAGTATTATGCTTCTCTTTTAAAGGCCAACATTCAGCCCCATAGAGCATTGCAGATCTCACCACCATCTAATAAAATTTTCCTTTCTGTCTAAGTTGTACTTTTCTATCACACAAAAGGCATGAAACATTCCTTTACTTCAACCAACCAACTTGAATTCTAATATTAGCATCTTCGTCTATATCACCATCGCTTTGAACAACAGACTCGAGATATTTAAATCATTCACGCCTTTTAATAATTTGATCACCCAAAATTATACTTTTGTCACTAGAGCTACTACTACTAAAATTACATTCCATGTATTCAGTTTTAGTTCTACTTAAATGAAGGCCTTTAGACTCCAATGTAGACCTCCATATATCAAGTTTTTCCTGGGCTTTTTTTTTTTTTTTCACGTCTTATCCACGAGAAGGATATCATCAACAAAAAACAAACACCAAGGTACATCCTCCTGTAAATGTCCAGTAAGACCATCCATAACTAAAGCAAAAAGATATGGGCTTAAAGCCGATCCTAGACATGATCCAACATAAATAGCAAAATAATTGGTTTGTCTTCCTTCAGTTCGAACACAAGTAACAACTCTAGTATACATATCTTTAATGACTTGAATAAAAGTCATATCAACACCTTTCTTCTGAAGAACTCTCCAAAGAATATCTATGGAACCTTATCGTAAGATTTTTCTAAATCAATAAAAATCAAATGTAGATCCTCCTTATTATCTCTGAACTTCTCCATTAAACCTCTCAATAAATGTATAGCTTCGATGGTAGACCTGCCTAGCATAAATCCAAATTGATTATGAGAAATCTTTGCAATGCGTCTTAACCTATGTTCACTTACCCTCACCCATAATTTTAAAGTATGACACATCAACTTAATTCCTCTATAATTTGCACACTCTTATGCATCCCCTTTATTCTTAAAAATGGGGACCAAAATACTCTTCCACCACTCCTCGGGCATCTTTTTAGTTTTTAAAATAATATTGAAGAGTTTAGTAAGCAAAGAAACTCCCACATCTCCTACAAATTTCCACACTTCAATTAGGATATCATCTAGTCCTAGACTTTCCACCCTTGGCTTCCCATAAAGCCTCCTCAACTTCTTTTTTACTAATGCGACGGTAAAAATGAAATGTTTTACTATTATTAACGATATTAAAATCACTAAAATCGATCATACGTTCTCTATAGGATGATCTACATAAATGACAATTATATGGATCACAGTTAGTTTGGTCTAAGGTTTAACTATACTGAGCCTATACTCTATACATGTGATATTCTATAGTCCCTGATAGTCTTTATGAAGCTTATGCTCCACTGAAAATAACCTGCAAAAGCACAAACAATTTGGTTGTTTGAAAATAAAAAGAGAAATTTACAAACACACCACCCAATTCTTATGTACTTAGATATTTAACAGCTAAACTTTACTTTTTACATTTATACCACTCAAATCTTTCATATCACATAGAAAATACAATCATTTTAACTTTTGAAAAAGTGAAATACATCTTTTAATGCATAAGAAAGGTGGCATATATATCTAAAAATTGAAGTTTAGGTGTTAGTTATGTAAATACATAGGAATTGAGTGGTATGTATGTAAATCTCCAAATATAAAACCTGCTTTAAGAGACTGGTGAATTTATGAGATTGTGTTTTGGTGGGATGCGCAATTAAATCAAAAGGATTTTAAACTCTCCAACACACCTTCAAAATAAGGATTGCTCAAAATACTACCACAAATGACAAAGAGAGGCTCAATCACAGTTTCCACTCAAACAGTCAGAAACAATTACTTCGTTGAACCACTTTCAATCACTCTATCCTACGATCGCTTTTAGACTCAAAAATTCAAAACGATCGCTGCGTGGAATATAATTTAGTTAAATGGACTCTTTCCCCCAAGAGGGGTTGCAACAATCCAATCTAGAGCTGATCCAACTGCAGCTCACGATTAAATTAAAGTCATTTAATTTAACTTCTAGCCAAGCCACGTTTGGTTATATATTGGCTTAGTCAATTTAATATTAGTCAATCCAAGTTCAATTTGAGACAAAAAACAATCCAATCTTAATTAATTTTCAATCCTGCAAGTTAAATTCTTAGTTTAATATAAATGCATAGACTCATACATATAAGATGCATATATAAATTGATTGAAATTTAAAACATACACATATATAAGTATATAGGCATTCACATATATAAATAAATATATTTTGTCTGATCACAAGCTAACTCGATTTGATGCAAGCTCATTTTAATCAAGCTCAATCTGACGTATGCTTGGAACACTATTCAACTCGTTGACTTCAATCCAAGGTAACAAAAATTGATACAATTTTTTAGTGCTATTCAAGCCAAATTCATAGCCGTGCCCCCTGAGTTTACAATAACTTAACACCAATGGTTTTGTCTCTCATTCATTTATTAATGGAAACAATAGTTATTTGATTCAGAACTAGAATGACCACTTCATGTATGGCTTCTACTCCTCCCTGCAACAACCAAATGTCTTTTTAAGATATGTTCAAAGGTCCTCTCAATGGCTAGAAGCTTTATATCAAAATGAATGCATGAAATATTTTGGCAGAAGTTAAAACAATTTAACAATATCCGTATTTTCAAGCACATTTATAGGAAGGTTAAACATTGTGTAACTTGCTTGCGTACATTGAGAACTCAAAAAGACTAGATTCAACATTCTAATCTCTAAATAACTCTTCTCATCCTTAATTTAGATAATTAGTCAAAGATTCCATCATTAATGTATAATGAATAACGTCTCTCATAGATTTAATCCTGCTTTGAACCTATGAATCCTGATTATAGAGAATTATAAGTACATCTTTTTTATAAGAAAAATGATCAAACATGATAATTTTATTTTCACTACAAAATAACTAAAATTATAGTTAACATGTTTGAAAACCTATTTTATAATCAGAAGCAGTCAAATGAGCACTTGAGAAAATAAGTAAAACCAAATTAATAAGATGTGAACAAAATTATGGCCATAGAACAGTCATATAGGTGAGAACAAGTGTTTTAATGACCCTATACATGGCGTTCCCATCATCAAATTGTTAGAGCTTCTCATAATGAACAAAATGAAAAGTATTTTTTTAATAATGGAAAAGCTTTCCAATCTTTATACAAAAAATTCCTCATAGTTATCAATAATTGATATTAGATACAACACCCTTATACGAGTCATCTAACTAAACCAAAGGCTAGCCAACAACCTATGGTTGTGGATTGGTAATGCCACTATCGACAGAATCTTTGATCAATGATTTGAATAAACCGCGTTGTATATCGCAATGCCACTAATGCATAAATGATGATAGATCAAAGTTTTAATGATTGAATTCATGGAAATAATTCCCTAAAGCTTCATAGCCTCAAATTGGTGCCACAAAAATAAATAAAAACAACAACAACACATTATTTTATTCATGGATCAACACTTCTCCTCAGGATACATATTCTATCATAAATAAATCAAAAAGTTGAGCATAGAAAAAAAAAAAGAGCTTCAAGAAGCCCAAGTTCATGTATGACAAAGAAGGAAATCTCTCGCGGGATCAGTCAAAAAGGTCTAATTTCATGACAATTAATTTTAATTTACTTTCTTACTTCTATTTGGAATTTGAGACACCATCCATGTGAGTTTAGAGAGAATTTTTAAAATATTAAACCCCTTTTTGGAAGCTCATCAATCAAATCCAAATTGAGGATTCCCAATGACAATAAAAAAACTATAAGAAATCCTTCATTTTTTGTGTGGCATATTTAGTTTCTAAAATAGGAGCAAATGCGGGAGGACAACCATATATGTCATGGAGGAATTTCATATGGACAGAATCTTGATTGTTTCCTAATATGCTTTCCTTCTTCTCTATGACATTCCATGAAAAAATAGCATTTGATCACTTATTAACTTATATCTACAAGGTTTTGGCTTGTCCCTATATGTCACACCCTCCCTATAAGCTTGTTCTCCTATATCCAATCATCTTCCTAAAATCTCAAGTCTCCTCGGCCTCTTTAAAAATTAAGTCATTTTGCCCTCACTAAAACACTTGTTTCCACCTATTGTGGCCAATCTATAATGAAAATTTATAAAATCCATATCATATACCCAATTAACCAAAAGTTACAACCATTAGATGGTTAACATTATATCTTATCATACACCCAATTAACAAAAAATTAACACCATTAATTAACATCACAAACTGTGGTATCTATCTATCTATCTAACCTCATTAAAACACAACTCTTATTTTCCATCTATTGTGTCCAATCTATAAAGAAAGAAATGTATAGCTTTCTTAACATAAACCCAATTATTTTCACTCTCCATGATGCAAAATCTCACCTTGTTCCACCAGTCATTAAATCCTTAACACCCACCGACACCTTCAAGAAAATACAAAACATCTAGGGCGTAAACTTGATATACTATATCAATTTTGATCCTGAGTCCTGACCCTTCATTTATAGGCATAAGAAAACGAAAAAACAATAACAATAAAAGCGTGATCAGGATTCAGTATAGAAAGAAAGCCCACCTGGGGAAACGTAGGTTCGGCGGCCCGGGCCGGAGTTGGATACACGGAGAACAAACTTAGCGTGCGGCGGCTGCTCCTTAGTTGCCCGGCAAGGCTCCGGGTAGAGTCGGATGTACAGGTACCGATTCTTCTCGACGGACAAATACCTTCGATCGAAACAATAAATTCAATAAGTGCAGCCAAAGTGTCAACGCCGATCCCTTAATCGATTTAGAGAGCATGATGGAGGAACGAACCAGTTCCAGATGCCGAGCTTGAATGCGTCGGAGCGGCGAGTAGAGAAGGGGCCGAAGCTCTCGATCCGCCACTGCGCCAACCGAGCGATAGTCTCCACCTTGGAATCGGCTGGGCCTCCGCCTCCGCCGCCCCTCCGCCGCCGCCGCCGTTACTAGCCATCATTTTGAGCTTTGGTTTGGCCCTAGCTTTCGAAGTCAGACAGTCGCGAGGGCGAGCAGAACGCAGGCTAAAGCAGAAGGGAAAGGAGACGTCTTTACTGAGAGTGTCACTCCCTCCGCTTTTTCAGAAATAATTGTTCGATGGGCATTCACATACATACCACCAAAAAAGTCGGTATTTACATATCCGCCACTTCAACTTAATATTTAGCTTTATACCACCCATTTCTTTCACATCACAACAAAAATACTTTATTTTGACATTTAAAAAATGTAATATACATTGCATGTAAGATAAGAAGGCATTTATGTAAAAATTGAAATTTGAGTGTCATGTAAATCCCCCATAACTTTGCTTTATAATTTTGAGAGAAAAAAAATGTTGAAGTTAAAATCAATATAAATTTTTAATTATTGTGAACAGAGCTATGGATCTAATAAATTATACGGGTATTTACATACATTCACATAACAGATGGATTAGCATAGGATTTAAGCACATAAACATGGATTAGCATGGGATATACACAGATAATATATGTATTAATATGGGATTTAAGCACATAACGCATGAACTAGCATGGGATTTAAGCACATAACACATGAACTAATATGGGGCTTAAGCATGTGACAAATGGGATAGCATATGATTTAAGCAGATAACACATGGATTAATATGAAAGATAACCATATAGGGCATGGACTAGCATATGATAGATAACCACATCGCACATGGACTGGCTTGAAAGAAAACCACATAACACATGGACCAGCATGATAGATAACCACATAAACTAGCATGAATAAACATAGCCACATAGATTTATGTAAGGTAAAATACCAAATGAGTGGATGAAATGACTAAATAAATACATTATTTTCCTTTCCCTTTTTTTTCATTTTTTCGGTTTCAGGTAGGATGAGATGAGGGAAAGATGATGAGATTGGGTTGGTTATAGGTTTAGGGTTTTAGCGGAGGAGGGTGTGGTGATTTGTTGGGCTTGGGTAGGGCTAGTTTAGGCTTGGGTTAGGGCTAGATTGGACTAGTGAGGGCTCGGGTAGTGCTAGGAGCGGCTAGTGAGGGCTAGGGCTAGGGTGGGTTGGAATTGAGAGGACTAGTGAGTAATTTTAGGGTTAGGGTTAGGGTTAGGTTGGGTTCTAGTTAGGATTAGGTTGGATTCTACCAGCGATATTCTCAAACAATCATAAGTCAATCAAAAATAATCATTTAACATACAGATTAGACATATGTAACCAGATTTTGCATATTATTTAGGGGGTAAATAACAAACAAAAAGTATTTTCAGATATTCTCAAACAATCTTAAGTTCAAAATATTAAAGAAACCGCAAAGATATTTGCATAGTGAAGCACCAAATGCATTCATTTCTAAACACAATAACTTTCGGATATTACAGAAACGATAGATCAATCTCACATAAAAAATTACCCACATAACATTGAAATTACATGTGAGTCTTCTGTTCGAAGACAAACTCGACAAAAAAACAAACCCATGGAGAAACAAGTACGACGAGATACAATCCCTTCGAAATTAGATTTCACATCAACGAAAAGAATAGAAGCATAGAAAAACCAATAGAGGAAGGTTGAATCAGCTCGAAAACAAAAATTATAAAGAATATACCAATAAAAATTGAAGAATATAGAATGTACATCCCTTTATGAAAAAAGATAGAAATTGAAGAATATAGAATGTACATATGCCATTACGAAAAGATAAACATTTCTGATCACCTTCTCCCCAACCTCCCCTCACAGACAGTCCCTCAAAAATGAAGAGCTAGGACACAGGCAGTAGCTCAAAACTGAAGAGCAAGGGCATAGATAATCACTCGAAAACAAAGAGCTAGGTTCTCAAACTAATTACCAGGTGACAAAATGCGGACCGTGCTCGAATGACCGTGTTGTTAAAATGACACTATAACATACCGCAGTGCGAAAAATGCCGCTACGATGCAATTAACAAACACCTAATCGCATAGTGTCATACTGTGAAGCCGCAAAAACACCCTAAATAATGCAAAAAAGCGTCCTGAATAATTCAATAAATAAACCAACATTCACACCAGCAATTGCTTTTTTTATGCCAAGTTCTAAAATAAAAATCACATAATATGTAAAATCACGTACACATGCATGCAGTGACACTATTGCAAACAATATTATCAAAAGAATAAATCAAATAAATTCATATTAATTTTAATTAGTTGGATTTACACATACATACTACATTAGTCCTATGTATTCATATATCTCTAACTATTAACATTTAAATTTAAAATTTATATAACACTTTAGTGTCAAAATCACCCCCAAAACACAGCATAAGAAGGTATATTCCACTCATTTCACTGATATTTTCATTTGATGTTAGAAACTTCGATGTTATACAAATAAATATCAAAGCTAAGAAGTTAGATATGTAAATATACAAGAATTGTGTGGCATACATGTAAATCCCCCTATTTAGTTAATAACCAACCCCATTTTACATAACTATAACTACAATAGAAAAAAGGGAGATTTACAGAAATACCACTTAATTCCTATGTAATAACATATCTAACACCTAAATTTTAATTTTCACATATATGTCACCTTACATATGCATGAAAAGGTGTATTTCACTTTTTAAAAGTATAAATACAGGAATTTTTATGTGATATGAAAGATTTGGGGGATTTAAATGTAAAAAAGTAAATTTTTCGTGTTATACTGGTAAATACATAGGAATTGGGTGGTATTTATGCAAATGTCACTCGAAAAAACAGCAGATAATCATTACAGCAAATGTATATTTCAAGTTACTAATTGCTGAAACAATAAATAAATAAATAAATAAGCCAATTATAAGTCAAAACAAGGTAAATCCTTATGCTAATGCACTCGGTTTTTGGGTGTTACATAAATAACTATCAAAGGTTACAATGTCAGATACATAAATACATAAAAATTGTGTGATGAATATGTAAAAAAGTCTTATATGTCAAAAACTATCCAATTTTACCCTCCTAATAACTACTACATCAAGAAGAAGAGCTAACCTACACAGATAATTTAATCAATACAACATGTATAATTCAAAATATGTTTATCAAAAAGAGCCTAATAAAAGGCAAAAATTACAAAATCTTGAAGCTAATCCACTTGATGTAAAACAAAGAGAGCACAAGAAATAGCTCCAGAGTACCTCTACTGAATCTTCTCCTTCCTGTACGCTTTGAAGAGATCAATGCCAAGGAAAACATTAAGCAGATTCATTCCAGCCATTCCAAACAGCGCAAGGGGAAGCTCAATTCCTTCACCAAACTTCGATGAGTCGATGATGAGCTTACAAGTGATGAGAATGTGGCAGACAAGCCTTGCGGCAAAGAAGCTCGCCCAGTTGAGAAGCCATTCAATCTTCACTATGCCGTTCTTCGCGTCTCGAATGCCGGTCATGCGTCGTAATTTCCTGGTGTGAAGAAATATGGAGTGGATCTGGGAACCAAAGTTAAGCTTGTTAGTAGATCTAACTGGATTAGATGTTTAAATCTAGGAGCACATCTAAGATCAATCTGTATGGGAATAATAAGGCTAATTGTTCAGAGTTATAAGACATTCGCTTTTCTTTCATAATTGGTGCATTTACATACATACCACCCAATTCTTACGCAACTACATATCAAACACTTAAACTTTGCCTTTTACATTTATATCACCCAAATCTTTCATATCATATTAAAAATACCACCATTCTAACTATTAAAAAATGAAATATGCCTTTTCATGCGTAGGTAAGGTGGTATTTATGTAAAAAATTGAGGTTTAGATGGTAAATATGCAAATACATAGGAATTGAGTGGTATGTATGTAAATCATCCTTTATAATTTAGAACATTTATCTTATCCTTAAAGTACACCATTGACTGGCTTCATTATATCCAGGAGAATTCTTTCTTCATAATTATGATCATGGTTATGAAAAAGAGGACCGAACCGGCCGTTCCAATCTAACTAATCGTGAATCGGTCCACTGGTCACTTCGGTCCAAAACCAAAAGCATTTTCATATAGAACTGGAAAAAAAAACGACCATTGAATCCACAAACTAGTCTGGTTTTTTAAGAACAATCCGATTCTATTCTCGATGAAGGTTTCACTTTTGATTTTGATCGAATTGCTAAAATAAAAGATTTAGATTAAAAATAGAAAACAAAATTAAAACATTATGTTCCAAAATTTGCCTTCAAAATCATATTTTAAAATATTCAAGAGCAAAGTGGCCAAGATTAGAATATTGCATATTCAAACTTAGAAAATGTCTTTATTACATCATTTAAATTTTCAGTTCAACTCTGCCAGAGCCGTTGAACCTCTCCTTTCCAATCAATGTCCGATCTGATTTTCAATACCTCGATTATAACAATCTAGCCAAAAAAATGGGTGTCGATATGATAAATAATTCAAATCAAAATTTAAAAGCTTTCAGAATTATCACAAAAGTTCTCGTCATAAAATGTTTCATGATAAGTGACCAAAAAAGTGACATACATAAACTTGTGGAAAATATTCTAAAAAAAATAAACAACAGCAGAGCTGAAGGTCAAGATAGAACTATATGGTAGGCAACTTTGTATTATTTATCAAACTCTATTTCATGTTTGATTCAAACAAATCTACAGCCACATCAGATCCAATTCAACGTTTCATAGTTCATCAATTTTTAGACAGTCAATCACATTGTCTCCAACAGAATAGAGCCCTTCTCACATCAATCTGTAATATACTTTAGGAAGGTTTACATATGCATCACTCAATTTTTATGTATTTACATATCTAACACATAAACTTCAATTCTTACATATATGCCATCTTAACTATGCATGTAAAGGTATTTTCCACTTCTTAAAAGTTAAAATAGTGGCACTTTTGAAGTAATATGAATGATTTGGGTGGTATAACTGTAAACAGCGAAGTTTAGTTGTTAGATATGTAGCTACATCCCACATAGGCTTCTATGTATGTAAGGGCATTTACATAAAAACCACCAAATTTCTGTGTTTACATATCTAATACCCAAACTTTATTTTTTATATTCACACCGCACAAATTTTTCATATCACATCAAGAATACAGCTATTTTAACTTTAAAAAAGCAAAGTACACCTTTTCATGCATAGGTAAGGTGGCATTTATGTAAAAAACTTAAGTTTAGATGTTAGATATGTAAATACATAAGAATTGAGTGGCATGATTTCCCTCTTAAGTTATACTTACAGTTTCACTCCATAAACTTGCTTCGTACAGGCATGTCATCTGGACTCTGCGTTTCTGATTTCCCCAATCTAATCATTGAGGAAATTTTTCAGAGTTTATTTAGAACAAGGTAGCGAGTGTTAGGCACCTAAGATCATGGCACGGTCTTCGACCAATGGTTGCTAGCCTTGCAACTTTTGTTGGTCCCAAAAGACAGATGCAAAAGTGATGCTTGTGGTGCATGATGCATGCTGATTTATGCTAACTAATGCTTGTATGCATGGCATGTTCATGTTTACTTTGCACCGACACTTCTTATTATGGAGGTATGCATTGTTCAACTCGTGTCAAACATGGACCAGCCCGACATACCTCCAACGGGTCGAACATGGCAAAAAAAATGTGCACCCCATGTCCTAACTAATTGCTTGTAGTGTGATGCATGCCAGTTTATGCTAATTAGGCGTGTCAAAATTAACCTGACACACCAACTTAATCCGAACCCGACTTGAAAAAGCCATGCATGGGTTGAACCGAATAATTTTTTGATAGATTTGGGTTAACAATCCCAACCCGTTTAATTCTTCGGGCTGCATTAACCCGCCAATCCTTAAATGACACGCTAACCTGAAATTGACTTAAAATCCACACGTCAATCCAAAATTGACCCAATATTGACCCGAATTTGACCAAATCGCTATTATTTCTTAATTTAAATGGGTAGTGTTCAAGTCAGCGAGTTGAAGACATGTTAGGTCAAGATTTGATTTTTCTGACCCATTTAATATTTGAGTTGGGTTTAGTTCAAACAGTTTTGGATCATGTCAATATCAGGTTAGAACTGAACTTGACCCACAAAACCAATGACACTTTTAATAAAAAGTAATTTTAAATACAATTTAAAATTCTTTAGAGATTATATTTACTATTTCATTTTCCTCTTCAGCTCTTAATCATCACCATCACTTATAAGTCAATATCATTTGCAATGACTAAGACACTCACCAAAATCTTTAGGGCTTAGTAGTGACTTAGGCTAAATCAAGTTTCATTTAAATAAGGATTATAAAAGTAAACATCATTGAAAATTAAAACATCTTTCAAACACTACAAGCCAAAGTCAAAATTTGGCTAAGTATCTTAAACTTGCCTCTTTAAGGGTCTTCACCCACATAATTCTTAAATCAAATTACAAGTGATAATTACTCTATTCTTAGGGATAATTGAGACACCAATACTCACTGAGCACTAAGGGTATTTACAGGATGAATTATTAAGCAACATAATAAGTTTAAAAGAACTCGGAATTTTTGACCAGCCAGTGAGAGAGTAGCACGGACCTGCTTTTTTCTCTAGATCTGTTGGATACCTCAGAGATCTACTAAACTTAATATATTTTTCTTGACAAATAATCCTTAATTAAACTTCTAAGGACCCACCAAGATATGAACAAGGTTAGGTAGGTCACCAAAATTTTACTTCCCTGTTTCACATGAACTGCCCTAACATGCCTTTTAAGTTTCAAGTGGTGGAACGAGAAGACTCGCCAGGTACGCTTTTACAGTTTTCAACGTCGACTTTCTTATACTTTTATGCTTATACAAACTTACATGCTAAACAAGGTTGCCACCCTACATGAAAGCGAAAATTATCAGGATTACCACAAAACCAAAACCAAAATTAAAACTAAAATCAACCAAGATAAAATTCACCTCCACAACATTCAAAATATAAAACAACTCAAAATTTAATCACAAACATCACAAAAAACTACAAATTGCAACTAAATCAAGATGTCTCTATCGGATGATCGAGAATTCCTCGGAGGAGGTAACCTACGGTTGCTAACGAGGCTTTCTACGATCTAAATGAAATTATGGAACTCATTAAGTTGTGTTTAGTAAGTTCATTTGGACTAAGTGAACCTAATAGAAAATAGTGGTGCCGGAAGGAGGGAACCCTAGGATCCTAACCGGTGTCGCTCTAATCAACTTTAACTTGCCCCCATAAAATTTAAAGAACTTTAACCATAGGGCTACCTGATTTGACATCATAACTTGACACATTAGAAAACTTAAACTCGTCACGGCAAGGAGCTTGGAGCTAGCATGGTGGGCAGCACAACCATCTTCAACAACAAAACTTGTCTTCCCCAGCTAAATCAATCTTCCTTCCTTAGATATAAGCAACAAAGCCATAGGACTTCGAGGTTGCTTGCTTATGCAACATAAATCCTCATCTTATCTTTAGGCCTTTGTACAACCCTGCTATACAATATAAGCCCTAACTCGTCTTAGGATTCCGAGGTCGTCGTTCGTCAAGACCTAAACCCTCACATCTTTCAAGCTATTTGTGTGATAGTTTCTTACGAATGTAAGCCCTAACTAATAAAATTGACAGAAGGAAACACCTAAATATTTCTCGTCAGAAATGAAGCCAAACATTAGGATAGTTTGGGAAGTCACTGGGGTTCTCCTCTGGATCCATGACATCCCCTAGTTTTTCTTCCTTTGGACTCTACAACAAAATGCTCCAAATTTGAACTAATCCCCTTTCACACCTATACTTCCGATCTCATTGAAAAGTCCTATATTTTGAAACTCCTTGAAGATAATATTTCTTGATTTTTATCGAGAGTCTTCTTAGGCGACTTTGGTCATTTAAGATGTAATTAACTATAGGGGCTTGTCCTTATAGGAAGCATGTCCAAAACCAACTTAATATAAACCTTATTTAATTCTTTATGTTAAATAGGGGAACTTGTCAGTAAATACAAAGGTATCACAGACCAAATGGATGTGGATGTCGTATATTCATTAGTTTATTTGATTGAGCCTCATCCTCAAGTCTTGTGTTTATTCTTCGGGATAGATACAGGATTTGAGGTACAGCGCTCTTTCATAGTGGATTGAAGAAGATAGTATTAGAGCTCGTCACCACCGTCCGTTTTATCAACTATATATTCCTGGAGAGACTAATGAAAGATAGGAATTTGTTCCTTTGAATGAAGAATGGAATTAAGTTGAGTGTTAGAATTTGTGTATTAGAAGTTGTTGAGACAAAGTGGTTTAGTGTTTAAGTATTATTTTTAGTATTTATGACTTCTTATATATGACTTCTTATATGTGTTTGTGTTAATTGTGAAATGATTGTTATTTATTTGTATTTAAGAAAATTTTCTCATCCAAGAATAGTTGGAGTGAGAATAAAGTGTTTAAAGGTATTTGCACTTGTTTGTGAATTAATATAAGTTTGTTTGTGTAAAAAATTGTGTTATTTTTAGTCTAGAATTGAAATAGTTATTATGGAGAATTTTGAGAGAGGAGTTATAGAAAGTTGAAAATAGTCATTTAATTGTTATGAGACCATTTAGGTGTGGTTTACTTAGGCAAATAGTTCATTTTACTTTAATTTGAAAATTTTGAAAATCGTGCCCTGGCGCCTAAGCGGCACATCTTGCTCTTAAGCACGAGCCAACCCAAGAGGCAGACGCCTGAGCGCCATTTACCAGCGCTTAAGCGCCGGTTCATGAAAACCAGATCGCAAACGGTTAAAAGTGAAATTTTAGCCCAAAAATCACCAATTTTAACGCCACCGTCACCTTCAATTTCTCAAGTTCACAATTTTTGAGGGCTAGGGCACATCTAAAGTGAAAATTTCTTGGTGGAATCAAGTAAAATTTGCTAGATCCAAGTTCCTTGAAGTAAGAGCTTTACTTCTACGCAAAAAAAATTGGATTTTCACTATGTATTTTGAGCACATTTGGAGAAATTTGAAAATTCACTATTCATGGTGAAAAATGAGAAAAAAATCTATGAAAATTGCATGGAAAGTGTAGTTTATACTTTGGAAGTTTAGTTTAGTAATTTAGACTTGATTTTTGAAGTTATTTTTAGAATTTATAAAATTTGTAGAATGGCACCAAGAATGAAGAGGAGCAAAGGAAAGAGCCCTTTCGATTCGAGTAAATTTGTTTGTTCGAATGCTCAGGATCGGTACAGGGATGTGTTTCGATCACGGAAACTAATTTAAGAGTGGTGTTTTAGGAATCCAGGTGGAGACGTAGAGGATTTGATCATTCGCCGATAGTGGGAACGATTCTGTTGTTTTTCTATTGTTGCAGTTATTTCTGTTGTTAGGGAGTTCTATGTAAACCTCTCTGAAGCTGAAGATGATAGAGTCATAAAGATAATAGAGTCATGATTCAAGGAAAGTTGGTACCTTTTTCACCGGAGGTAATAAACTTGTTTTATCATCTGCCACCTGATATGTTATGTTTTTATGCAAATTATAATCCGACTGAAGCAAAGTTAGATGAGATTATTTCTTACTTGACTATTGGAAGAGGAATTTGAAAGATCACTAATGAGAGGAGAGTCAAATTCCCAACTTTAAAGTTTTGTGCACCTTCAAAGGCCTGACACTATTTTATTTCTGCTCGTCTGCTACCAACAAATCATCTCAGTGAAGTGACCAGGGAGAGAGAGCGACGTTAAATTATTGTATCGAGGAAGGAAACCTCATCAACATAGGAGCTTTGATTTATCAGACTATCATCAGTT